CACCTCCACAAGGAGGCAGAGGTGCAGGAAGAAGTCACACAGACTCCCCAACCTAAATAAAAGCAGAAATGGAGGCTATGACCTACCATGACAAAAAACCTGAGCTCACATGACATAAAATTTGTGACCCACCACGACAAAACATCAGCACTAATGACATTTCCTTCTATTGATACACCGTAAATAGTTTTGAACATCAGAGTAAAAACAGTTACCATAAATGCACACATTCATGCAGTAGTTCTTTTGAAATTCAGTTTGTGCAACAATTCTAAAGCCAACAACTGGGACATTAGGTAACTCTCAGTTTATTTACAGGAGATAATTTTTTTTTCAAACTGGTCAAATTAATTAAATCTTGATGAAGACTAAATCAAGGCCCAATTAAAGGATTTAGCACAACTCATTAGTACAAAAAAAGTCTTCACTTTTTTTATTCTTCCAATGTTAAACTATTGAACCACATTTTGTCAGATTTACTCACAATATTTCCTTGACAGCCTGATACCAAGTTTTCAAAGCTTCACAGTGTAATGTTTATTTCTGCCAAAATTATGACTGGTTGAAAATATTTGGAATTTCAATGGAAACCTGTATTATGGCATTGGCTTCAAGTGGCAGATTAGATACAAAATACATTAGCACTAACGGAAATTGAGCCATAACTGATTCCTATTAATTTGATAACAAACAGTAATAATGATCATGAACTCTTTTGTTAGCAATGTGAATAACCAATGCTATTCAACCACAATTCCATTTGCCCCATTCCTATCATTTTCAGTGTGGATCTCCCCTGTTCCATACAGAGGGCGAGGTCAATGTGAACCACGCCCACACTATTCCCCAGACCTTTTCTGTAGACCTCACTCCACATGCATCACTCTTCCATCCCAAGATGACAGTGGAAAAACTGGCAGAATGTTAACGCAACCCAAGACTGCAGTTATTGTTCTACTACCCCCAACCCACCTCCAGCTGTGTGTGGCGGGGGGGGGGGGGAGAGCCTTAAAAAGGAGTCCTAGACGCACCAGTAGCTATGGGACCATCTTGGCAATGAAACTGCATTCTCAGAGAACCTGATTTGAAAGTGCAGGACCTCAGCAATAATGATCCTATTTTCCTGAAGATCTCCTGGGATTCAGGTGGTCTGGGAGCAGGACCACTGCCATTCCATTGGAGAACTAAGGCCAGGGGGGATCAAACCCGTAGTCGAGGTGAAACAATTTGGGAAAAACTCTGAAAGGGAACAGTCAGTTTCAGAGCAACTGAACCTGTCTTCCCCCTCTGTAGTCAACCAAGGGCACCCACTTAAGGCTTCCAGCTCCACACCCATCACCTTCCTTGGGTGGAGACACACATCTCCCTCTCTCCTAATTAGGGATCTTAAGGCTGCCCAGCTCCCTGCCTTACATTGTGATATCCCCAACAAGCCAGACACCCTAAAAGGCCAGCACCTGTAATTAGCTCTCTCTTTGAGGACTCTGACCAGTGTATTGTCTGCAGATGTAAGTCACCACACATCTCCTTTGAAGCAAGCCCATTTATTCTTAAGGTAAAAAGCATTATAGAGAAGCATATTAAAAGAATAAAAGAACCTACACGGATGCTAAAAAGCTTACCAGAGGTCACCCCCAGCTCCAATCTAGGGCTCTGGTAGGTTTTAGTCCTTCAAAACTCACAATTGGGTTTTCCCCATGATTACACATTCATACATCTTAGATCTAGGACCAGAACGAAGTCTGGGCAGATCAGTCATTTATACAGCTTGAGTCTTTGATATTGGCCTTCTGTAATAGGTAGGTAATCAGCGGACAATGGCCCTCTCCTCAGGGCGTAGATTCAAACAGCTAGGTTTTTGCATAACAGGAGATGTGGAATTTGCATTAGCTACTCTCTAGGGATTCCCCAAGGAATCCACTGAACTCTTATTGTCCCCAGAAGTCCATATTTATCTGGCACAATTCAATATAGTCTTTTGAACGCCTTTAAACTTCCCAGATTTCACATCTGTCATCTCTCTCCCCCCAAGGAAAATTACATACAGTCTTGGCCCACCTTAATACATAAACTTAATAAAATAAGGTCTTCCAAAGATATTGAAAGAAATTGCCATATCAGTCATGGGAACATCAAAAAGTTTTCCTCTCTTCAGAGCCTCCTCATACAGATATTCTGTGGACCCAAGTATAGTGGTTTACATTTACACTGAGTCCAGCTGAATATAATATTTGCTTGAAAGTAAATTTATGGCATTTACATAAATATCATTTTCATGTTTGACAGGATACATGATTACTTGGAAATCAATAATTATTTTAAACTCAGTTTTTTAGCTGACTCCTGGTACACATTACAAAGTAATTTTATAGGAGTCAATTGCACCTGTTATTTAAGCCTGAAACTTTGGTGTTAGATAAATAAAAGTGGTTTAAGTGTGCACTATCTACATATCTGCAAACAGATCTACAGCCAATGGTAACAACTGTCATTTTGATTCACTGTATTTCATTTCCTCAAGTATCCCCCTGAAAACTGCATTTATAGGACTGATATCATAGGACCTGATTCTCCATTGCCCCACATCTTGTGTAGTCATTTACTCCTCTGCAAAGTCAAACTTTGGAGAGGAAGGATGATCCAATGGTTAGCAGCCAGGACTTGGGAGACCTGGGTTTAAGTCTCTACTTAGCCACAGACTTCCTATGTGACTTTGGGCAAGTCACTAAGACCCAAACCCACAAAGGGACTTGGGTGTTGCACTTTTAGGCACCTAGAAAATGACTGGAACAACAAGGGGATCAACAAACCCTGAGCTAGTTGCCTAGCTCCCTATACAATGAATGGGGAGAAACAGTTGCTTTAGAACTCAATCCACAAAAGCCAGCAGGTTAGGCAGCAAGATGCCTAAACTAGCCCATGGGAGATGCCCAGGAAAGGGTGTGTTCTAAGCACAGCCCCTCTCACTCTCACAGAGTTCAGTGTCTACCTCCAGGCTACAGGGAGGCAATCTTTCTGCTTCCGAGCCTCAGCTGGGAACCACTCTGCTGGAGTCAAGCAGCTTGATGCCTAAGGTGTTTCTTGTGAGTAAGAGTTAGGCGGCTGCCTTGCTCCACACAAAATGGCAAGTGGTAGTGATGGTGGTAGTGGAGGAGGAACAGTTAGCCCTGTGGTTAGGATACTCAGCTGCGATGTGGGATACTATCCTCAGCCCATCTTCTCCAACTTCATAGATCACTTTGGGGCTTAGGTGGATATAGGTCTCCAAGTGCCCAGAGTGAGGCAGCAATGAGCATGCCCCGAGGCAGAAAAATAGATGCCTAGGGAACCTTTTCAGACAGAACTCATGTGCCATGTTAGTTTAGGCATCTACAGGTTTAGGTGGCAGCTACGCAAGAGTTTTGTGGATCACGCCTTAAAGTGGGACGTAGGTGCCTAAGTCCCTTTGTGGATCCAGGTCTAAGTCTCTCTGTGCCTCAATTACCCATCTGTAAAATGGGGATAACAGCACTTCCCTACCTCACAAAGGTGTTGTGAAGATAAATGCATTAAAGACTGTGAGGTGCTCAGATATTATGGTAATAGGGTCCATATAAGTACATAAGATAGATAGAATTTTACACCTGTTTTGCCCTGATGTATATTGCTGTGGAGAATCAAACCTATAGTGCTAGCTAACAAAATACAAATGATTTTAGAAGCTTCATTTCATATCCTTAGAGGGAAAAAACATTTCCTGCTATTCACAAGAATTAAGGCCATCTATAATGCCGCCCAAGGAAACAAACATACTTTTTTTCTAAAATCAGCTTTTTATTTGAAATATCTAATGAAATCCAGAATATAGTGTGTCAGTTGCAACTGGCAAATATTAAAACGGTGCTATTTTTTCAAGAAAAAAATAATTTGGTATTTCTTTTCAAAATTGCACCCATTTCATGAATCAAAAATCCCTCCAAAACCTCATGTTATGCATTTCTCAAATTCCTTGTATCTTGCACAGCCCTACCACCAACTAACCTGTTAACAGTTGTCAATTACAGAATAATCCATAGCATAACATGAGGATTCAGAGAGAGAAAGAGCCCAGAATAGGGAGCCAGTTGAGAAAGCTCTCCATAGACAGGAGAAGAGACCAGACTTAGGGTTAGGAGCTCAGGGCATCTGCAGTGGATGCCAACTTCTGGGGGTGGCAAATTGATATCATTAGGTGAGAAAAATGGGGGAAGGAGATTGGTATTTTTTTTCACAGCCATTTGGGGAAAACATTTTCCACTATGGGTGACAGCACACCTAGGACTGGCCCTGTAGGCCAATATTGTTAGCTTCCTTCTTTTAATAGCCATTGGTCCTAATCCTGCTGGTCCTTCCTGACCTGAGTAGTTCCAATGACTTTCAGGAGACTACCTAAGAATAACTTACACAAGTGTTTGCTGGATTGGCGCCATTGTTCGAAACTGCCTGTCAGAAACTCAAAAGTACAAGGGCCCTCTCCCTTCCAGTAATTTTTCTCAGATCATTTAATTGTGGGGGGGCGGAGTTTGAGGCCCACCCAGAACAAACCTCATAGCTCACTCTCTATCTCTTTGTCCCAAGCCATTCACCCAAAGTCCTTGAAAGCTCCTCAACTTGTCCAGTGATTGGGGATCTATGCTCTTCTTTATAAAAAGTGTATATAAACAAAGCCATTCAACAAGACATTTATAACAACTTGGGGACTGTTACTGATAGGCTTTCCCTGCCTTGACTTCACTCTGGGTGAAATCCACCCAAGTGCAGAGGACCAAAAGAAAACCTATGACCACCTAAGTCACACTCTACATCTTTTGATGTGTATATCAATTTTATATTGCCATAATTCTATTGAGTTCAATGAATTTACTCCTGATTTGCTCCAGTGTAAATGGGAGCAGAATATAAACATTCTTTACAGTTAACAGTAGGTCTCCTCAGCCTTTCTGTGCTATGCAAGCAAAAGATTAGTTCACTCAGGAACTCACCATGTCTGTGTCTGAAACAGGTCCAAAGCTGGTTACGTAGATATTAGTGAAGACTTTCGTTATACTGTCTGATAAGAGAATAGAAAAACAAACACATTTTTAGCACATACATTTTCTGTATTCTGCAGACAGAGTGATGTGAAACATTCTGAACCAGATTCTGCTCTTAGTCATACTGTTGCAAATATGGAGTAACTCCACTGACCTCATTAGAATTACTCTGCTGTTACACTGGTGTTACTAGAAGCTCCCCCCCGAGTGCTTCACTTACAGCAAATATAAACATATTTCCCATTTCCACAGCTAGCAAAAATAATTACATTGCCTGGTATTTAATAAGGTGCCACAATTCTAAACATAAAACACCTTTGTGGCAGAGCTGTTATTCCTAGTGTTGTAGATCAGTGCTGTTAAAAGCTTTCTAATTCAAGGCTATTTTTTTCAGACTGAACAGCTTTTTTCAAAGCCAAAGAAACTGTTTACAATACAACTACTAATGGTGCTAAAAATAATTGTTCAACAGCAGCCTATATTTTAATTGTTTAAGTGACAGATGTTTAAGCAAAATAGTCCCTTTCCTGTGTTCACTCTGCTGCTTAACTGTTGTTATAGCTGTAGAAAGAATGTTCTCCTAATGATTATAGCTGGACAGCCATGATACCAGCATATTAATTATTGTGCTGTAGGGAGAAATAATTGCTCAGTTTTCTATCTTCAGTTTTCAATGAGGCTCAAAACTAAATAATATGCGCTAATAGGGATGGGCCACACCAGCAAAATATTTCCCACTACATGTTTCCAACTACCAGGTAGGTAACAGGCACCTAGAATGTTAAAAAAATTGTTGTAAAGCAGAATATTCAAGTGAAAAAGGGGGGGGGGAAGTACTTACATAAAGCTAAGTGCAATTTGACAATGAAAGCACCATGCCTTTTCCTAAAAAGAACATTGCACCTCGTAACTGCTCTTTGCTGTATATTGACCTCCATATTTGATCAAAACAAAGGACCAGGCATTTAGTGCTTTCTATTCCTCGTTAAAAGCTGTTCTAAAAAACATTATTTTGATCAAGATGTTGTATGATAAGATTTAATTTTTCATTCAATTGATTAACACAATAATGTAGGCTTTGCATTAGAAGCCCAGAATGGAGACCTGAATTGATTAGTTTCTTATATAATCAATGTTTTCCTGACAAAGAGCAGTGCAATTGAACATCCTAGTGTGCATGTGTGCCACTGCCCTCTACTGAATAAAATCAAAAGTGCTCAATTGTTTATATAGGCTCTATATAGCTAACAGTCCCTTTTATTTTTATTAACAGCTAAATTATATACTCTTGTGCTTTGGGAATGGTGTAGAGATGCATCCCCACTCAAGAGGGAACACCAGGAGCAACTGTGCTGGTACAATTCCTTCTGGAGCTTCCTGGAGCATAGAGGAAATGCATCCCTGCATTGTCGTTTATGATGAAACATGCACTCCCCTTCACAGCCAACCAGCTGTGCCTAGTGGGTCCTAAAAGAAGCTGTCAAGGAGAGCATGGAGCTTGTAATTATGCCTTGCTGCTACACAGGGGGATGTGAAGTGCAAGAAAAGTGGGAAAAGGCTTTTTGCGCCTTGCTGCCTGCACACCTTAAAGAGGCCACTCAATCTAGTGGTGAGGGCCTGTGATTTTGGAGTAGGGCAACCTAAATTCTGTCCCCACAGCTACCATGAAGTTCCAAGTGGCCATATTCAGTAGCAAAAGTTCCTAGGTAGTTACACATTTGTTACAGTATAGTATTCAATATATATTTGCTCCTCACAATACTTTTACTTTGGGATTACTTATAATTTATCTGCCTTTTTAGAAAACAAAAAGAAAAACGAGGAAAAGAAAAAGAGATCCAATGTGTAAACCAAGATTATATATTTATATTATGTATTAACACTTAGGCACTCAGTTGTACATCAGGCCTCCACTGTGCTAGGTACTGTACAAACACATAGCAAGGAGACTGTCCCTGCCCCAAAGAGGACAAGGGACAACACAAGATGTTGGGGTGCATGCATGTTCTCAGTATTTGGCTAGGAATAAGCATAGGTTTTGCTGAAATAACATGTGGAAACCACAAGTATGGTTCAAAAATACAGAGACTGAATACTGTCTGTCAGAAAAATCTGAAAACGAGGATAATTATCTCCAAATGGGCACCTGTTACAGGCTGAGAGGAAATTAAAAGTGACAAGACAGAATCTCTCTCTCTCCAGGGCACCAAACAGTGCTATAGAGAGTAACTGTGAAAGTTGGCTTGCACTATTCCAAAAACTCACAACCCTAATTATTATTCTATGCAAAAAAGGTGTTAATGCATTACTGACAATCAAGCTTTCAAAAGGCAGGAAGCCAGATCTAATCTCAGTTACCCTGTTATAATTTGGAGTAATACCACTGCAGGCAAAGGAGTCACTTGGGAGTTACTCCAATATAACAGATTTGAATCTAAACCAAAAAAAGTAGAGCTATGATAGGGACCTCAACATTGTCTGTTATATCTTACAATAGATCTTTATATTGTTATACATTATTTGTCAAATAATACAATATATAATACAAACTGCAATTTCATTACCAGTTTTGCATACAGTAAACTATAATGCATACAGTCCTCGAACTTGGCTTCAATTTTACATCTCAATGCAAGCAATTCAGTCCCAAATTCTAAGAATATAAACACACCAGTAGGGTTAAACTCCTGGTCCCCCTATTGAAAAATAGAAAGTGAACGCACAGTGTTGAGGAATATCAAAGAGGCAACACTGAATGGCTGAAAAGCTGTCGTAACTATCTGGAGATTCCTCTAGCTGTCCCTAAGTTACCGCCTTTAGAGTCCCCAACCTAAGAGCAGGCCAAGGATGTGGCTGGAAGAAAGAGACAAGCACTACAGTGATTCTCAGCTGCTAGAACTTTATGTCAGCCAGATGCAATTCAGAACAGCACTTAGGCTGATCTAAACTGTACCAGGGCCAAATTTGAAAATGTTGACCTGTGTGTGCGTAACAGGACAAAGGTCAAAGAGGGGGTCTGTGTCAGCATTGGGATTAGGCCCTTGCTTAGTCAACTTGACCATACCACCTCATTTTCCTGAGCTGGCCCTCCTTGTGGCCTCAAGTCATGCAGTCTGGCTGGTAAGCAGAAGAGCTGACTCAGCTGAAAGTAGTTGGCAGGAAATCTGCAGTGGCCTTAGTGCCATCAACGACAGCCAGAATAGGACTGCACCCTTCATCTATGAAATTGATCTGGTATCTTCCCCCCCCAAAATGAAAGAATCTATGCCATGGTTTTACAGGCACCTCAAAGCCAAGCTCGGACTGGCTGTGTTGGGAGGATCTATGAATAATCTGTGGCCTTTAGAAAAATATATTGTTTTAATAAAGCTAAATACCCAAATTTTTCTTAACAGGACAGGGCATCTAAAATATTCAAACACATAATTCTAATGCACAGCATGCAACAATTTTTCTATCGTATAAAGATTATTTTGTATGTGCAATAAATAGTACCCTGGAGAATGCCGCAATGTTGTAATTTGATTGAAGAGCTATTATGGCATAAAAAAAGTGAAAATGAAGCACTGTTTATTAATTATGTCAACATAAAATGAAAAAGAGGGTCAAGTTTAAAGTGCTGTGGGAGCCTTAAAACAGGATTTCCAAGCTTGGGTGGAAAAGCTGTCAAAACCCTGATGTTATTTTAATTATTTTTGATTAAAATGTATTATTTAACTAGAATTGACATTGTTCTGACATTGTAATATGGTCTCCACAGATACGCTTGGCAATTTTGCCCAAAGACACTGAAATTGTGATTCATAATACAATCCAGGAGCTGCACAAGTAAAACAGCCAGAGCCTTAATCCATCAGTATTCCAACTCAACATTCTCTCCTTAGCTGACAAGCTTGTTAGTATAGCTGAAAGTGCCAGCAGAAGACACTTTAGGGCTGGGGGTTGGATAATTGGGAGCTCCAGGAGTGGAGGAAGGAAAGGGAATGTAAATATTTCAATGTATATTTTGCTTCAGTGATTTAAGGACAGCTGTATCTGTCCAATTATTCAGCTTTTTCTACTGTTACCCACTGTCATCAGTTATAATAAAACACTTTTGAACCACTTATGGATACTTAAGTAAGGATGTACATAGGGATTTCAGCTTGTAAACTGAAACTGTGTTTTAGGAGAAGAGGAAACAGATTCATTTTCCCCACTCCTAACTGCAATACCTCATCTGCCTTCCCTTGATCTGTTTTCAAGAAGATTTCTTAATGGGATCTATATGTGAAAGTATCCGTACATATTCTGTCTACTTGACTAGACTCTATTTAATCACTCCTGTCTACCCCATCATAGCAGTGTTTAACAAAAAGCTATGTAAATGGTACTGCTAGTTCCAAAAAGGTAGCCACAGAACAAAGCTACTTGGCAACAAAAATGATTAGGGGGCTGGAGTACACGACTTATGAGGAGAGGCTTAGGGAACTGGGAGTGTTTACTCTGCAGAAGAGAAGAACGAGGTGGGATTTGATAGCTGCTTTCAACTACCTGAAAAGGGGGTTCCAAAGAGGATAGATCTAGACTGTTCTCAGTGGTACCAGATGATAGATCAAGGAGTAATGGTCTCAAGTTGCAGTGGGGGAGGTTTAGATTGGATATTAGGAAAAACTTTTTCACTAGGAGGGTGGTGAAGCACTGGAATGGGTTACCTAGGGAGGTGGTGGAATCTCCTTAGAGATTTTTAAGGTCAGGCTTGACAAAGTCCTGGCTGGGATGATTTAGTTGGGGATTGGTCCTGCTTTGAGCAGGGGGTTGGACTAGATGACATCCTGAGGTCCCTTCCAACACGGATATTCTATGATGGCCATATTACAGCTTCAAAACCGATGCCATGATAAAGCAACTATCATGCCTGATTCTAATCTCACACCAGAGTAAATCAGGAGATACTCTTATTGAAGTCAATGAAGTTACACTGGTATAAACCTGGCAAAAGTGTGAGGTAAATCAATTTCACTGTTTCTTTGGAACA